CACGACGCTGTCACGTGACAGCACGGTCTCTGGAGACTTCTGTAACCTCCGCCCCACCCCCTGCCCCCAAGACGTCCTGCTGCAGCCCCACCATGGGCGGCACCCAGCAGCTGCATTTCTGTGAACTCCAGGAACCTGTGTGAACTAGACCCCACACTGGGGAATCCTCGCCCAACCAGGCCACATGATCCAGAATTCAAAATAATTTACGTAGCTGTCTTTCAACTATACACCAACACGTGCTGTGAAGAAATTCAAGCACAGAATAAATAAAAGGCTGTCACCTCCTTGCCCCACCCCCGGCTCCCATCTAGAGGTGTCCCCGAGACGGTGCCACCCAACAGGAGCACAGCACCAGCCTACATCTTTCAGCAGCCAGATTAAAAGGAAAACAGGTGAAATTTACGTTACTACATTACCTACAACCCAGTGTATCTAGAACAGCACCGCTAGGATACAAAATGCAAGTTATTAACGAGACAGTTGATGGCCTGCCTCCTGCCCGTCTCAGACCTCACGTGCACCAACGCGTCCAGGGGTCGAGCCACGGTGGCCTTCCCCACCTCACGGCTCCCTCTGCACGCTTGCGCTCATGTGTAAGCAGGCGGCAAGACAGGCCCCCTGGGGTCTGCCCGGGGACCCTCCCCTGGCGTCACAGCCCCGCCTGGAGCCCCGGCCCCTCCCCTGGCGTCCCTGCCTGGCCTGGTGTGTGCTCACACCCACCTCCCACTCCTGGAAGAGGCGGATCAGGTACTCGTAGCTCCGTGCCCTTAAGGCCAGGTGGTCGAGCAGCAGCAGCATGCACAGGGGGTCCTCGTCCGGCTCAAGGCTTCCGGAGGCAGCACAGCAAGCAGAGGGAGACAAAACCCACAGTGGGCCGGCGCGGACGTCCACGGGCCGTGGCCCCGGTGGGGAGGGGAGCGGGCGGCAGCCCTACCTGAGGATGAGCTTGCAGTACTCCAGCGCCGTGCGTGGGCAGCCCCGCTTCTCCAGGAAGCTCATCTGCTTGTAGAGGGCCAGGTAGAAGCTCCTAGACCCAAGACAGTTCCTCGTGAATGAGAGCACGGCAGGCAGCAGAGCACGTCGCCTGGCGCCTCGTCCGGCACTGCGTCCACCCTCTGCCCGCGGGGCTTCGCTGGCATTTCCCGTGTGGCCTAATCAGCGCGAACGTTCGCCAGGGTCCTGTCTGCAGAGAAGGTGACTCTGCTTGTTGTTTGCGGTCACGTGTGTGTGCACGGACAGAAAACCAAGCCTATTTGTTAGTGAAGATCTGCATCTTCTTGGGCATTTTAAAAAAAACTATCCTTTAAGGGAAGAGAGTTAAAATCTGCTACCGTAACTACCATCTAGATTTATCCTGGTGGACTACTGTTTTGATCAACAGCTCCCTGCCCTGTTAATGCCTGGGAACGTTAGTATTTTATAGCATCGCAAAGAACTAAGAATTTCATTGGAGAGACAAAGCTCACACAACTAGAAGCAAGAGAGAAAATTCAGACCCCACACACCCTGCAGACAATCTGTGCAGTGGGGGTCACTGTGCCCTGGGACCCACGACAGCCCCCAGGCCGGAGAACACATCCTACAAGGGACACAACCCAGGACGGCCGGAGACAACGGGGGGTGGGTGGGGCGCCCGGAGCGGAGAGCGCGCCCACACCCGCAAGGCCCTGAAGAGCAGGCGGAGGGTGAGAGGCTAGAGGCTGAGGTCAGCAGGGAGGCCGTGGTATCCGCTCAGGCCTGCGCTGCTGAGAGCGGGGGCTTCGGGGGAAGAGAGTCTGCAGGAAGAGGGTCCCACGGGCGTGCGTGACAGGAACACGGTGGGGCTGCGTTCACGCTGCTGCCCGCAAGGCGTTCCCGAGGATCCCAAACGCGTGGGCTATGGACTGAGTCCAAACACGCAAGGAAACGCGACTACAGGTCCCATGGCGGTGAGGTGGCTGGCGAGGCTCCCTCCTAACGTGGACAAGTTTAAACCCCAGGCCAGCCTGATCCGTCCACCCTCAGGTCCAGCCCTCCTGCATTCAAGCTTTAAACACAGCGCAAAGCCCTGGGACCCCAGCGGGACCCCTCGTCGACAGTCCCGTGGCACATGCCCCCCCTGCGCTCACCCTAGCACTCACGTCACCTGTGACGCCTACAACACACTCGCGAGGGAAGATGGTGTGCGCCTATGAACGCCTGGGTGGCCGGCTCACCTGTTCTCGGGCCTGCGGTAGTCCAGCCGGCAGGTCCCGCTGGTGAGGCTGAACAAGGGGTGGAAGGCACACTCCATGCTGTACAGCGCGCGCTCTGCAGGCAACAGACAGGGGGCGGCTGTCAGCCCCTGCACGGTGGCTGCAAACCCATCCTCTGTGGCTCCTGAGGAAAGCTCCAGAAGGGAGGTGGCCACGAGACTAGGAGTTGGAAAGTGACGGGCGAGGACCTGCCCACGGGGATCACGTCAACCACAGAGGTGTGACCTGGCCACGCCCGCTCTGGCCGGAGGAACCACACGCCTCTCCTGAAGCCCACGCACCCCCAGGGGCTGATTCTCAGGAGCTGAGGGTGGAAACAGGCCACGAAACGTGGACCATCCATCATCACAAAAGGAATGACGTCCTGACACACGGCTCACACAGGTGAACACTGAGGACATCACGGTAAATGACAGAAGCCAGATGGAGACGTGTGTTGTGATTCCATTTACAGGGAAGTCCGGAGACAGAGGGCGGACTGGCGGTTGCCAGGGGCTAGGGGAGGCGGGCTTCTTTCACACATGGTGGAAGTGACCCAGAATCAACAGGGATACGGCTGTACAAGTCTACATATACTAGAAACCAAGGAACTGTGTGCTTTAAAGGAGCGAATCTCACGGTAGATGAAATTTTATCTCAATAAAGCTGTTACTTAAAGAACGTCCTGGCAAACCCACCACGTCCCCAACAGCTGAGGTGGGGCCGCCCGCTAGGCCTTACCTACGAGGTCCCGCGCCATCTCCTGGTCCTCCTGGAAGCGGCAGGCGTCGCTGAGCTGCAGGAGCGAGTCCACGTGATAGGGGCTGGTCTGCAGCAGGACCTGCGAGGCAGGAGGAAGCTGATGGGACGAGGCCCAGGAAGGCCCTGGGCCCACCTCCAGCAGCTCGGCTCGCGCCGCGCCTCCACGACCCCACAGGGTGCCCGCGCACCACCATGTTGTTGGGCTCCATGGACTCCACAGCGGCCAGGAACCTGTGTTGCGTCTGCTGGTACTCCTCACTGTGCTCAAAAGCGAAGGCTGAGCGGCCTTTCCTAGACTCTAGCAGCCGCATCGACAGACCTGGGGTGGTAGGGGGTGCCTGCGTCAGGATGCCCAGGGCGGACTGCCTGCAGCTTGGGCCACACCAGCGACACGCGCCTCTACACCTTTCCTGTGAAGATGTGCCTCCCCCCAGGAGCGTGGAAGGAGCAGCGACATCCCAGGACAACAGGGAGGGGACACGCACAGCCCGCCTCCCCTACCCCATCTGGTCAGCCCCAGACACTGTCTGCTTAGAGCCATGATCCAGGCGGGCGTAGGACAGGGCGCAGGGGCCACTGCCAGGCCTCCGAGGCGACAGGGACTGCTAAGCCACGACGTCCTCTCTCTGCTCCTTGCGCTGACTCTGGGTGGATGGGGTCCAGGGTCTTCTCAGGAGCCTGACAACTTCATCTCCCTTCGTCACCTTCAGGAGATCCGTCAGGGTCCCGGGACGCCCCTGGCGACACCCTCCTAAAGGCCCCATCGAGGGCAGCCCTACAGGACCCCGTGGCAATGAGCCCCTCTCTCTGCCTGTGCTCAGGGGCCGCTGCTGGGAACATGGGAGTGAAGGAAAAGGGGGGTGAGATGCCCACTAGGGCCATGGCTTCCCGTGTCCTCGCTGAGCACAGGGGGTCTCGCAGGGCATCCCAGGCCCCGGGGGCCCATGATCCTTGATGCTACACAGCCAAGCCCCCCTGGCAGGGCATGACCCTGCACCCAAACCTTTCTGCACTGCTGCTGTTTTTCTTTAAATTACTAATTTAAATTATTAAACGAATGTTAATTTTCTTTAAATTATTAATTATTAAATTACTCTCCAGTTTGCAACAAAATAGAAAATATCACCGTTTAAAAATGAACTTGATTGCTTCCTATGGTGTAGGATCCACAGCACAAAGGAAGGTGGTAGAGAAACGCTGACTCTGCTCATGGTCAAGAAAACACACGGCGGGTGGGGGTCTGTGCCCAGACAGGGGGCTCCCCCCAGCCCCACGCAGGGCCCTTGGCCGCACACACGCACACTGGCTCTGCACACGCAGAGGCGTGGCCCTGCAGCCCCGCGCCCTCACCTGGTTTGGTGTACCGGGGCCAGGCGCTCTTAGGGGTGGTCAGCCACGTACACTTGGGGTACACGCGCTGTCTCTGCCGCGGCCTGAGGAGAAACAGACAGGGTACGGCTTGACCTCCACGCTGCCGGACCTTTGCTGGTAAGGGCAGGACAAGGACAGAACGCAAACCGCCTTGACAACGGCCGTCACCCTGCCGGATGAGATGGCAGACCGCGATCCGAGCAACCAAACCACCATGGAAGAGGGAAGAAAAACAGGAAACCCGTAGTCCAGCAAAACATTAGGAAAGGTAGAAAAGAAACAGAAGGTGAGGACCTAACGTGAAGACGACAAGGCGAGAGCGAGCCAGCAGCGACCCGCGGACACAAATGAGCTGCCTTCCCATGGACGACGCGGCTGCGCGGGGCAGAGGGCCCTTCTCATCTGCCCTCTCGGGAGACCCCACCCCAACAAGCAACAGAGATGGGGCATCAAACACCCACACATTCCTGGAAGGAAGCCAGCCAGACACAGGAGCACTAGCGGGCAGCGGGGCCGGCCCAGCTCCCTCCCCCAGGCCCAGTGCTGCGGCTCTCTCATCCGGGGGTCTCTGCTGCAGGTGCGAGCCCCTCCCCACAGCCATGGTCACACCGAGGGCTTTCTGTTCTATCACTGATGCTTTATTTCTTGAGCTGAGTTGTGGCCAAGTAGACCCATGTATATTACTCTGTATACTTTTTTGATATTATGAACTATCTCATTAAGAAAAAAATTGAGTAAAAATCTGGATTGTGTTAGGAATGGGATGAAATAAAAGTAAAAAACTGCAGGAGAAAAAACAACTCCTCAAGAAAACCATGGTCAAAATCTGAAGGAAACTAAAATGTGGGATGATTCTGGGTAACTGGTAATTGTGAAAAAATGGAGAATTAACTGGATGCTCAGAACTGCCCTGTCTATGGAATCCCAGGGATGGTCCAGCCCTGCAGTGAGCCGTCCATGCAGAAGAGGCTGCCACTGGGAGGTGGGGTGCCAACGGGGGAGCAGACACCAGCGGCAGAGGAGGTCCAGATGGGAGGACCCGACAGAGAGCAGCACACACGGCACCTGGAGATGCCGAGGGGACCGGACACGAGTGGGGCGAGGGGACGAGGAGGGACCACGGCTTCTCAAGGGAGCCCATGCATAGGACTTCATTGTTTAAGGAAGGAAACGTGATAAATAACGACTATAGTAACACTGTGAAAAAAAGTAAGTGCAGTTACGATTAACTAACTACTAGTAATGAGTGTAACGTGCACAGAAATAAGAGCACGCGAACGTGTACAGACAGACCAGGCAGACGCAAAGGAAGTGAGGGCGGGTTGGGGTGGAAGGTCCAGCCCAGGGCAATACAGGTAAAAAAGGGGAACATTTTGAGTTAAAATGTTTTTCATTAATATTCCATAAAAGAAGACGAAGTCAGAGCCCCTCTGTCCTGAATAACTTTACACCAAAAATAAAAGCAAATTATACAGCAAATGCAATGAGAAATACAAGGAAAGTGTGAGCGAAGGACATGAAAAAAATCCTCAACCTCACTCATAATCAAACAAATAGAAGTCAGGGACCTCCCTGGCGGTCCAGTGGTTAAGACACCGCACTTCCACTGCAGGGGGCACAGGTTCAACCCCTGGCTGGGGAACCAAGATCCCTCATGCCACAAGGCACGGCCAAAACAAAACAAAAAAAACAGAAGTCAAAAACATGGAGACTATACAACAGTGTAAAACAACTACACCTCAATTCAAAAAAGACCAAAAACATGGGCTTCCCTGGTGGCGCAGTGGTTGAGAGTCCGCCTGCCGATGCAGGGGACGCGGGTTCGTGCCCCGGTCTGGGAAGATCCCACATGCTGCGGAGCGGCTGGGCCCGTGAGCCATGGCCGCTGAGCCTGCGCGTCCGGAGCCTGTGCTCCACAACGGGAGAGGCCAAAACACAAACATATGGAGACTATCCTTCGTCTTCACGTTATGACAGACTTTAAAGCCTCCTACACCTGCTGTGGATCCGAGGAGGAAGCAGCACGCAGACGGGGGCCGCAGGGGTTCAACTCTCGGGGGGGCAGCGGGTGACACCCCTCCCGGGCACCCTCACGCCAAGTACCGGCAGGCACCGCAGCCAAATGCACCCCAACACCTGTGCCCTGGGCGCCTGCTCCCCCCATGCTGCTGGCGCTGCTGCCGCTGGCGCAGTAACACAGGGTAAATGGTGCTCAGGACCCAGCCTGCAAACCAGGCATGTGAGAGATAGAAGAACCCTACGGCCCCAGGAAACAAGACATGTGCACGGGGCCCAGGACGCGCAGCAAACAGCCTTGAAGTGTTATCTGTGGGAAGCAAGGGTGACGGCTCGGAACTGCTTGAATAAGCAGCTCTTTTTTATAAGCAGCATTTATAAGCCTCTGCCGAGGGAAAGCTCCCACAGTTGGGGCTGGACCCTGCGAGGGAGCAGCCCAGGCAGAAGAGCCCCCTTCCCGCGGGAGGTCTGGGATCCCCACACTCCGGGCGCTCCCGCGGCGCTGACTACACGGCACCAGCCACCAGAACTCACGTTCACAAAGGTCAAACTTATCGCAAAATCCAAACCCCACATCGGTATTGCTCTCGACCGAAAAGCAAAAATGAATCTGGCTAAGATTTCAAGGCCAAAAGCTCAAACTTCAGAATCTTTGTAAAACTAGGACCCGCGGGGGAGAGCAGGCGGTGAGTGATGGAGCCCAACACCCACAGACGAGGCCACGCGACTTCTCCTCGACTCCCCTTCGGGTCCCAAGGGCTTCCTTTTTCACTGCGGCTGTAAACACCCTCCCTTCCCTTCCCTCAGCTGAGAACACAGCAGTGTTAGTCTTACCTCTGCTCCCCCAGGACGGCTCGGGCACCAAAATACCTTTTCAGTTCCGTGTCTGGATTCAAGTGTCTAGAGAATTGAAAATTTTACAGAGAAAAATGAAATTGAGTGGGTTAACAACGATCCTGAGAATGTCAGAAAGTCACATAAGGACCCAGCATGGAGAACGGCTCTCCAGCAGGGCTGATTTCTCTGCAACCACACGGCCCGTGGCCGAGACAGGCCACCACTCGCCAGGCCAAGTCAGAGCAGCGTGAGCCCGGGCAAGAGATCGAGGGGTCTTCACTGCCTTAGGAAGGAAGGTGGCTGATTTTTAATGCTGGCAACAGTCTGCGGTAGGGACAGGGTTTCATTAAGCACCTACAGGAACAGGGGATGGAGAACTCACCCCCGAATGGCAGCTTTAATGCAGCTCAAGAAAGAACGTTCCCAGACACGCAGAGCTAGAGAAAGGTCCTGGAAGGTCAGGGCTGCCCCATCCCCTCCCCTCTGTCCCCAAAGACGAGCTCTCCTCACTCGGCGAAGCCACACCTGTGCTCCACGTACAGGACATGCTTCTTGGCACTCAGTGGGGGCGGGCCTGGGCGGCTGGAGCCGCTGGCATCCTCAATCCTCTCCAGGATGCGGTCAATGTCCTCCAGCCCATTCTCCTGCAAGTCCCCAAATGACAAGTTCACTACCACATTGACTTGCTGACTTTATAAGTAACGATCAATAGCAAGATTTACTCTTACAAAGAACAAGTATTATATTGTGTTTCCTTCCTGAAAGACAGGACAACCTGAACACCCTGTACTGCACGTACATTTAGAAAAAAGGAGAGATGCTTCGTAAGAGGAACAGTCAGAATCAGACCAGGAAGGGACTCTG